TTGATGTTCAGGATAGTGGTGTTGAAGTGGAACAAATGATCTGGGATAGATGCTCTCATATAGTCCAGTATAGCGCTGTATCCAATCTTGTTTGTGTGAAACGATTCGCCCTCCGTTCCTTTGTCGTTCCATTCGGTCAGCACCCGGGGACTGAGCTGAAACTTTCATCTTTACCTTTAGCTCTTTCAACTTCCTCTAAGCTAATAGCTAAAGCAACACATCAGCCCAGTCAGCTGCCCATTCGAATTCCCAATACGACCTGTAGGAGCGAGTGAGAGCATCGAAAACATTCCTCCGTAGTCCAGTAATGTTGTTCGCCTTGAAGAACAATTTTATTAAGGAAAGCCTTATTGCTTTTTATCAAAGCTCACCTTCAGAAAAAAGATGTAGTCTTCCATGAATATACTTTTAATCGTATAAACACGAGATAGTAAATCGTGCTGCTTTGCCAGTTGGCGATACTTCGGATCCAATGGCTCGATGAACTTGGTGAACAGCTCAATGTCCTGCCTGAATGTGTAGAACATTGGGCGTTGTCTGGCTGAGAAAAGGGGTCATTCTGCCGTTTCGCTCCCCTCTCTAGTTCACTTAACTGGCAGGTTGACATCGATGGGACATGTACACTCTTGAGAAGTTGTAAATTAGCACACGCGAGCCCCTTTGGCTACAGAAACTTGCAGGCTTCACAAGATGGCCTGTACAAGCTTGGTTCAGTTCCATTTAGTGGCCCATCTAAGCCGAACGCGCCGAATATTCTTACAGGCATGTTGGTCATTCCCGAGCCATGATGGGATAAGTTCAAGCGCAGATGGGATAAGTCAGCCAGGTGTCTTCAAATGCCATTAAATTTGCATCAGCATGAAAGGGGGTGCTGGTACACATTGGGTTCGCAGGTCAATAATGTGACACGTTAGGACACCCCACGACGTCTCGCGCGACGCTTCCTGTTCGCGCGATTTCTCCGTTTTTTTTGGGTTGAGCAAGATTAAGTGCTGAAAGATTTTTGCCCAAATCTGGGAATGGGGAACCTAAGTGTGAGTTAGCGAATCGTTTATACGAGGAAGGGCTTCCACATCCCACAAAAGTGTTTCGAAGCTGTTCATCCTTTCTCTCTGGCCCCATCCCCCCGTCAATAGCATGTGATGTGGCTTGTAAGTCCTACTACGGAACATGTTGAGCTGCAGACCTGCACTGGACTGGCGCTCAAAAACGTGAAGGATATTAAGTTAGATAATTTGTGCCCCGGCGCTGTTAGCTTGCTAATAGCGGTAGAGGGAGCTTCTTGTGTAAAATTAGTTTTACTGTGGCACAAAAGCCATTTTACCCAAAGAATTTAGTTCACTCACGGCGCTCCCCTCCCTAGGCTTGGGCAGGAATACTCATATCTTGTAAGTAGCACCAATTCTGCGAAAGAATTTCTCCGATCCCTCTACCTTTTCCGCCTTTCCCGTTAATGGTAAGGCGAAGAGCCCCTTGGGCACGTACGCTGAGGAATCTTTAGTGGAGGATCGTATCTGGTCGCTGGAGAAAGAGGGTCGGTCATAATTGGCCTGAGGAAAACTTTTTTGCTTTTTGGATAGTTGGTTTTTCCTGTTTCACGCGCGCGTGTTTCATCCATATCGTTTTGGGAGGTTCCTATCGAGGAAGGGGGGGGGTGTCGAATTCTGCAGGGATTCCCTCCAGCGACAGGACGTGCCCTAAACGGCTTCCTCTTTTTATTTTACCTCCGCTTGAGTACTCTACTTCTCGTCCAGGTCAAGCACGACTGAAGCAAAAAAAAGCACATTTCGTGCCTATTTTAGCAAGTCCTCATCCGTAATATTTTCGATTTGCGATGGACCAACATCATATTATATTTTCTACAAGATCTTTGGATTTCAGCTTTTGAAGGGTTTTTGAAAGGGTATCACAATTCAGTATGGTCCCTACATTATCCTTTTTGCTTGGATAATCATGAGGGCATTAGTGCTTGAACGAGTATGTAGTACCTGTTTATCGGCTGATTTCCGATCAGATATTCGGCATTTTGTAATTGTGCTGTATCCGACACAATGTCGGCCACGACTCCCAGTTCATCTGCGATTTTGTAGATAGGATTGTCTGCTCCGTTAATGTATTCCGCTCCCATTTGCAGAAATCCTCCACCTTAAGGTAGAGTTCTAGCCTCATAGGAACACCTTCGAGTCCAAATGGACTTACGGTAGGGTACTGGGTGTATCCGGCCGCCAATGCGATCCAATCCTTCGTAAATGTCGATGTCAGTTCTTCCGGTTTCAATCAATCGTCGAGCTGCCGACAAACCGCTCATGCCGGCGCCGACGATTGCTATAGAAGGTTCTGCTTTGTTTGATTCTTTCTGGAAAGGTAACTGCATAAGTATGTCTAGAAGCATGAGAAAATGGCGTCACTTCTGGCCATTGTTTTGCGAAATAATGTGTGAATAGCCCACCTGAACGGAGATCCCGCATGCAATGACTACAATTAGTAGTGTGATGGATCTCATGATCAGTTAGCTGGATATAGTTCTGACGGTTTCCTGCCACTTTCTTTTGGTGATGACGAGTCCAATTCACTCGGCGCGAATCACTAGCGATAAGGAAATGACACCTACGCTGGGAGCGATTGGCCTAAATAGCAGATGATAAGGTACGCGCCGTAACAATCAGGTGATTGCTTTGTTTTCCCTCACATGGTCGCCTTCTACGTATACGTGGTATGAAGCACCATAAAATGACATAACGAGGTGATATACAGGACACGAGTAGAACTTTACGAGTCAGCTTATCAGCAGTTGACATTTGCGACGTTTGGTTTTCAATACCGGACACGTTTGAAGCAATTAGTTAGAAGTTTTTGGATAGCGTGAAGACAATGAGATGTGAAAGAAGCAACCTTGCGATGTGATCAGAATGGAGTGGAAGTTTCTCAATAAATATAGCAGAGAAGCGGGTGGCACTTTACAACGCGCGATCCAGGGATGAAATCCTGAGTCCGTTCCCGCCCAGGCCAACCAAGCCTTCTTCCCGACGGTAAAGTGGTACCAGATTCGTCTGGAAGAACACCGACTTATACATTGGCTGGCCCCGCAAATTATTGCATAGGCAACATCACTTAATAAACCGTTACGATTCTGAATGGCAGTTGAATGCGTGTCGCATCTCAAAAGGGGATTGGTTGACAGTAAAGACTATTCGGTCAGAGGTGATGTATAAGCAAGTAACGCTCATAGTGCACGGTCTGGGAGTCAGGTCCAGCTCGGTCCCTGCCCGGGCAAAGCAAGCTCTCGTTTCACGGCTGCGTTTAACTTGTTACCACAGTGACCTGGAAGGATGCAGATATGACTCGTACACAGCTGTCTCGGAAGTCGTCGCATAGAGCAAAAAGGCAGGAATCCACTACCGTTCCGGGTAGAAGATGTAATGCATGTCTGTCATCCCATACAAGGGATTTATAAACGTGGACGTCTATATCTACCGATTACCTTCATAGGAGAAGGCTTCAAAGCACGCTTACCAAGCACAGGTCTGGGCTGCAACACCCAGATCGACTCTGCCCAGGCCAACGAGGCCCTACATCACTCCTTAAAGCCAGTTCATTGATGTCAAAACACATGGAAGGTGTTTAAAGCCACTCTTGTACCATTGGCTGCGCCCCGCAGGCTTACACTAATAATGCTTCAGCGATGGTGGCGGCGAGTGCTGATACAGTACTTGCAATATGGCCGTAGTATGCCGTTGTCCGTGGGATATTTTTGATTTGACACAATATGTTGTTCCTGAGCCGTACTGTCCAAGATGCTAATGGTTGCAGCTGTTTTTGTAAACGACGGCTAACCCTTCCTTAAGCATTTGCGCCTTAATCGAGTGATAGTGACGTCCAGCCACGGAGACCGCTTGCATCTCTGAGATTATGTGAGTGGAATTGTACAAACCGACAACCGCATTCTGTAAAACGCCTGGCGTTTGCTGAGTGAATAGGAATGCGCAGCCCCCCCCACAAGGGATTGATCCACGGCGAAGACATTATCCTTTTGTCTCCTTGTTGCCTAGGATCTTGATGGTCGATTCAGGCACATCACGATTCTTCTCTGACCTTTTTTTCAGCAGGAAGTTGTGGTCCGTTTTCTGGGTTCTTTGCTCGCTGGAGGCTTGATGTGTAGGGGTATTAGGTTGTCCGGAAAGTTCTGCAGGTTTTGAGTGTTTAACTTTAAACGATCATAACTTTCTTAACACTCATCGGATTTAATCCAAATAAGCACCATTCGAATCAGCACACTTTTGCCAATGTGACAGCAGTCGAGAAATCCCATCAAAGAAAAAACTGGGTGGTCGAGAATCCACGAAATCTACGAAGGTCTTTTGGTTTTCGCCTGGTCAATTGTGATGAAGTATTTTTCAGCAAGGAAGTTCTGAAAATGTTTGAAAAGGTGATAGTCGGTTGGTGAAAGGTCTGGAGAATATGGTGGGTGTGGTAGAACTTCAACTCCAATTTCGTTCAATTTATGGATGTGATTTGTGAAACATGTGGGCGGCGTTGTCATGCAAAAGAATCGGGCCCTTTCTTTTGATAAGTGTTGGCTGCAGCAGCTGACAAAATTTTCGGTACATTTCGTCGATTCCTTCACAGTAGGGTTCTGCTGTGATGCTTAGCCTGGGTGATAAAGTTATAGTGGATCACACCAGCCGATGACCACCAAGCCGTGACCAGAATCTTTTTTTCGTGAGGGTTCGGCTTTAAAAATTACCTCGGTGGTTCGTCGAAATCCAACCACTGTCCGGAACGTCTCCTGTTATCATACATGACCCATTTCATCACAGGTGACAATTCGGTCCAAAAACAGGTCGTTTCTGCTGCGCAAAAGCAATGCAGAAGGAACCTCGAGACGTGCCGATTCCTGCCGGTCACTCCGATTGTGGGGCACCCAATTGTCGAGTTTTTTCACCTTCCCAATGCGTTCCAGACCATCTGCAACTGCTGACAGCTTGGTATTTGTTTGCCAAACAGTGGATTATGCCGACGCCTAGCTTTCCTGCAATCTCAGAACTGTTTGCGGATGCGCTATCAGCCTTCCAAAATCCCCTTAAAATCCTCGTCAGATATTGCTTTAGGTCGACCGCTAGGGTCGACCGCTGAGGTTCATCTTCAAGGTTGAAATCTCCAGAACGAAATTTGTTGAACCATTGCCGCACAGTGCTTTCTCTAGCACTATTGGGCCCCACACCTGGTTAATTTGTTGAGCTGTTTTCGCATTGACGGAATTTGCCCAATTTACAGTCGAACAAGAAAAAACATCGTCCGAACGCTGCTCTATTTCACGATGCTTGGAGAAAAAATCTTAAAAAAGGGGTTCATCAAGCAATGGTGAAACGGCAGTTATACCATCAGATAGCGCAAAGAATTCTCTTCAGGATGTACCTACTGAGACGCAAGGGAATGAGTTTTCAATCAGCAATGAATGCTGGCCCAAAAAATAGTAACTCACAAAACCGTGCAGAACTTTAAAGACACTAATAATTTACTGAAAACAGAAGGTGGGCTATTCGAGAACAGGCGATACAGCCATGGATGGGCGAAATGTCGGTGTGAGTACGACTTCCCCCCCCCCCGTCTCGAATGGGGTCCAGGGCCACGCATACCAGCGCCACGATCCACGCCACAGTACGGACCCCCCCCCCATTGGGTTTGACACAACGATGCTGTACCCTGATTGAGAAAAGAGCGCTGAACTATATCGATTTTCCCCTTTCTACTAACGGCCTCATTATTTGGCGATTACGATTACCGCTTTGACTCCCTGCTGTTTATATTTTGATCAGTTATCAGTTCCTTATTTACACCCTGGGAACAATACTGCACTGTATTGATCGCGCGACTTCATACTGGAAGGCGTAAAATCCACCATGGTGGGGTTGCTTCAGTAAGCAAAGAAAAATCAGCAGGGTAAAGGAACTTGCGCTTTTTGAGTGCATTTATCTTTGTGGCAACTTCTTCGGTGAAAAAGATAACGTGCATAGTTGAATGAATCTGGTCAAGGCACATCGTACGTTTGGAATCCCCAGTGAGTATGGGGGGGGGTGTATTTGGCCACTGAAATGAAAGGGTGTCGTAGTCGCTTTTGAAGAAAATGTTTCCAGTTGACTTTTTTGGTTCACCTTATTTCAGGTGCGTTATATACACTTGCAAGGAAGTTGGAGAAATTTAGGAAGATGGTGGTAGGGTGGAGGATGGAGATCATGCAGAGGAGGGACTCCCAAGGGGGTTTGTTTGTTCACAAAAATTTTCCCAACGGTAGGAAATGCCCCGGACACGGTAGTTTTCCCTTGGCAGCAGTCTCTACCACATTCAGGTTTTGATAGAAGCGGTCTATTATTTCTTCCTCTTTGGTAACCGTTTTGCCATGATGGAGCCTCGTCGATCTTCGTCCGCGTTTTTCACATATGAAAAAATTTGTATACATAACGTTATCAAAACATATAATTGAGCTCGGCCGCAGTTAGAAATAACTTCCTTCCGCTATCTTTCGCGTCATTGCTAATTGCAATTAACCGATCAACTGATCAAGAGCACCTGTCAATAGAAGAAAGGGATATTTATTTATGTGTTAAAAGAACGCGTCAAGCTATGCAAGGTCGTCGTGTCAAACAGGCGACACCCTGAAGCGAACAACAAAATAGGAAAGAAAAAAAGCCACAGCAGCAAATCGTTTTCAAGGAAAGAGTTGAGATCAGGCGAGAAAAAAATTCGTATTGTAGAGAGTGGAAGATCAGAGTGTGAAAAGGAACGAGGATTGACCAGTGAAGTCTACTAGATAGCGCATCGTCGCAGAAAAATGGGGAATATACTCAACTCAGAGAGGGATAATATGAGCTCTTACTTAAGCATTTGGTAGAAAGCAGGGAGCATAATGCCTGCACAACCAGCCGTGGCGCCCTCAGCACCACATATGAATTCACAGGAGTTCACTGACAGTTGGAGGGTGTACCAGCAACCCTGGAACCGGCAAACTACATAGATAAGAGCGATCACGCACTGTCACGTCACCTTGAAACTAGTGATCAACAAACGAGTCATGGGAGCGCTTGTTGTGTTGACTAGGTCCATGCTGCAACAGGAAAGGCAATAGGAAGAAATGTGGGCTTGATGAAAAATTTCCGCTAGTTCACATCTGTCTTTCGTTTTCCATTCTCCGCCCTGCTTTTCTTTGTGATGTTTTGTAGCAATCTCTGCTTTTTCGATTAGGTTCTTCTCAATAGTTTAATTTTTCCAGGATGTTCACAGGGGAAGGCGACTCCCGTAACCTCTATCAACAGCTAGTAGTTGACAGATCTCTCGCTGTTAGTGATTTCTTTGAATCTAAAAGGTGAGTTTGGCAATTTATTATTGTAATGTTTCCACATGAAGTTTTTATGAGTCAGATCTTCCCTGCTTTCCAAATCGGAAGATGTGAGGGAGACGGCGTTTTCTGAGTTGGTGGGCAACTTGCGTTCATTTCCGGATGATTTTCTCTCCGAACAGCAAGGTTGGGTATTACGTTGACTTTATACTCCTTTTCAAAGTTTCGACTATTTACAGTCTTGTTCGCTGCAGATGATGGGGCGTGTCAGTGAAGCTGGATTCGGCGCGCCGCTACCCCCTAAGCACCAGTTGGCGGATAAGCGGAAACAATTGGTGGAAACGACTGATACGAACGACATTGTACAATCTCGTCGCTCAACGAAAGGAAAAAAGAAAAGAATCGGGCTGGAGCTGCGCCAGACCCGCCTTTCCTGACGTGCCCCATCATCCGCACCGAAAATGAACTGTACCATTGGTACTGTTCAATTTGGAGCCTCACAAATACTTGCAATATTTGAACAGTAAGCGGGGCCTTGAGGTTCTCTTAATCATAGATCCACGTGTAAGAAGTTTTGTGAATTGATAAAACATAAATAAGGTCCGAATCTTTCGAACTAATCCTTGAAGATGTGA